TGACCCATATTCACACTTCCTACAATAGCTGGCCAATACTCTATAATTCTGACAGCATGGAAACAAAAAGAGGCCGACTACTAAAATTGTGGCAGACCCATAACAAAAGAGGATAAATTTCAACCTCCCTTCCAGACATCCTACAAAACTTTGCCAATATTCTATAATCCTGAAAAGCTGGTTATAAAGAGGATATAAGTATTCCAGCGCTAGGTACCGGCACTTGATTTTTCTTGATGATGTTTGTCCTCAAGCAAAGTTATACACAGTTTCATAAGCACTCTGGAAAGAAGGTGATCTGTGACAAGCATTATGCAACCAATTTAGCAATATGGCCAGAAAATCAATTTTGATACTGTGCCATTTCGATCAATTCGGCAGGCCATGTTACGCGTTACATGCCTGCCGAAATTTTGATTTCAGCAGGTGGGGGAGATGACCGTTACATAGATTTTTTTTCGGCAGCTAGGAGAATTTTATATGTAATCTAATACAAATCGCAGGGTTTACAATTTTTTTCTTTCAAAGCGCTACACAATTAGTAGAGACTAGAGATTTTTTTTACGATTTTTTGGTGATTTTCAAAGCTTTTTTTTACATTTTTTAAACGCATTCGGCACTTGGCTCAAACGACCGTTACCTCCGTTACATTTCGGCGATTTTGGAGGTGCCGTTACGCGTTACTGCCGAATTGATCGAAATGGCACAGTAAGCCCATAGTAGCCTACAATGATCTTGCAATTCTGGTAGCCCAGTCTCAAGAAGCGGCAAGTAACTAAGATGATTATGGCAAGCCCACAGTGACTACGCAAGCTTCAACCTATTTTTGGGGTGCCTGAAATAACCTTGCAATACTCCATAATTCTGAGAATTTAGTTATGACTCAAATGTAAATATTCCAGCACTAGCCTACCAATGTGGAAGAGACATAGCAAGGGAGAATAAATTTCAACCTACCTTCTATGGTCCTTGAAATAACTTGTGCTTCCAAGAAGGATACAAATAATGTAGTAAGTAGGCCAAGAAAATGGTATGTGGAGGCTGCATGACATGGCATGATAATTTTCAAC